CTTATTTTATCCAGAAGTAAAGATTCAAGCTTTTCTTATTAGTATTATCCTGGATGATTAATCTTCACAAACGTATCAAGGATCAATACGGCAAGTTTTGCCTGGACTCAGTTAGGAAATTGGAAGATACAAGCAAGAAGATCGCTGATTATCGGAACCACCAACGCTTCAGCCTACGTTGTACTCAAGGCAGGAATCACACCGGTTAGTCTACGTTTAAGAACTTCGATCCATGGTTTTAGAGCTGGCAAGATCATCGCTAGTACAGAAAGGAAGTTACTTAATGAGCGCATACGTCAAATCAACTACAAACTAGATGGACTAAAAGCAAAAGAGAAGGATCTCCATGATGCACTTCGGTTGCGGTTACCCATTAATGTCTTCACGGAAGTTCAGGAGTTCACAACTCGGATACAGCTGTTGCAACATGAAAAGGTAAAATTGCGACAACAGAAGAAATTTGAACTTTTGTCCCAAAGAACCAACAAAAGCAGAGCTGATAATGACCCCAATTGGAGGAATTCCGGACAGAAAACAAAAGGCGGGACAGATGAAAGGTGGGTTAAGAATTTGAGCAGCCATGTGTTGTCAGAAGCGGAGAAGTCGGTACTTTCAAAAGGTTTAAATTTCGCCATTACGCCTAACAAGATTCCTATCGTGGACATTGTTACTGAAACTGAATCAGCTTTACGCAGAGCTCGTTTACCGCACCTACAAGCTGAAGCCGTACGTACAAAAATAGCCACAACATTGAAGACTTCTAAACTACCAGAGAGTAATATTTCCCGTGAAGAAAAGGAAGCTATCAGAAATCTTTCGAAGAACCCAGACATCCTGATTCTGCCATCTGACAAAGGAAGATGCACAGTAGTGTTGGATCAAGAACAATACAAGGAGAAAGTTCATGATTTGTTACAAGATGACAACACGTACTTACCACTAAGGAAGGACCCTACATCTAATTTCAGATCTAAGATAAATGCAGCTCTTAAGAAATTGGAAAGAGACAAGGTGATTGATCGCTCGACGTATCTCAAGTTATACCCAAAAGGACAACAACCGCCAGCCTTCTATGGACTTCCAAAAATACATAAAAATAACATCCCTCTTCGGCCAATTGTTTCCAGCATAGGATCGGTGACTTATCAACTTGCACGGTTCTTAGCCAACATCATTGGTCCTCTGGTTGGTAAATCAGAACATCATGTAAAAAACAGTGAAGACTTTGTCAACAAAATCAAGGATATTTGTGTTGAAAATGATGAGATTATCACATCCTACGATGTATGTTCACTGTTTACCTGCATACCCCCTAAAGGAGCTGTTGAAGTGGTAAGAGAATTCCTTGAAGCTGATGACACCCTGAAAGAGAGATCTAAATTGTCAGTCAACCAGATCTGTCAACTCTTGGAACTTTGCCTTGAATGTACATATTTTACTTATGATGGCAAGTTTTACAAGCAAGTACAAGGTTGCGCTATGGGTTCTCCCGTATCTCCTATCGTGGCCAATCTCTACATGGAGAAGTTCGAACTTAAAGCTATCAATAGCTTTCCTGGTACCCCTCCTGCCAACTGGTTTAGATACGTGGATGACACATGGTGTCGGCTCAAGAAGGGATTGGCGGACAGTTTTTTCGAACACATTAACAAGGTTGACAAACATATCAGCTTTACTCAGGAGACCAGTCAAGATAACACACTACCTTTCTTGGATGCCAAACTACATGTAGAGACAGACGGTCACATTGAGGTGGAGGTTTATCGTAAACCTACTCACACCGATCAATATCTCATCTTTGATTCTCACCATCCCTTGGAACAGAAACTTGGTGTGATAAGAACCTTGTTTCATCGAGCAGACACCTTGATTACTTCGGCTGAAGCCAGAGCCAAGGAACATACTCACCTCAAGAAAGCTCTATCCAAGTGTGGATATCAACAATGGACTTTTAACAAAGCACTTAAGCCTTCCGACTCATCTAAGAAGACGTCAAGAAACTCACAGTTAGACAGGACTAAAACAGTCAACATTTCCATCCCATACATCCAAGGAGTTTCGGAGAAGATAAGACGTATCTTACACAACTACAACATCGCCACCAACTTCAAACCATGTCGCACTCTCAGACAGATGTTGTTTCATCCAAAGGACAAACTTAAAAACTGTGTGAAATCGGATGTCATTTACAGACTAAAATGTGAAGATCATCAATGCAAAGAAGCGTACATCGGGGAGACCAGTCAGCCGCTCAAGGAAAGATATAAGCAACACTGCAGGGCCAGTAACAGTGGATTTTCTTCGGCCATATGGCACCATCTGGACAAACATAAAGGACATTCTTTTCATCTTGAATCAACGGACATCTTGGACCGGGAGGCGCGCTGGTTTGAAGCGTGGAGTCAAGGAGGGCGATTTTATGAAAGACTTATAAACCATCACTCAACAGGAAGGGAGGACTTAGAGTTGAACTTTCAAGTACATGGGATTCTACTTTACAGCATATCTAGGGACTCACTTATCTTTATCATTACATTAGTTAATACTTTACCATGTGTATTGTATATAGAATCTATAGAACGCTTGTTGCTAACCTATTATTTGTTTATTTAGAACATAAATACTTTTAGAATTAACGGTGCCGTTCCGAGTTCTACCGCAATTTTGAATATTTCACTGATGAAAGATGCCGGACGGCGTCTGAAACGTCTGACATTATTTTCTTATTTTATCCAGAAGTAAAGATTCAAACTTTTCTTATTAGTATTGTGTGCAGTTTGCAAGAATTCTAGGAATGGTACAGGCATTTTGTCCACAGGGAATGGAATGTCCACAGGCATTTCTCTGACCCACATCTATGTCCACATTCCTGGAAACCCTTGGGAAGACCGCAGGCATGTCTCTGACCCACATCTATGCCCACATTCCTGGAAACCCTTCTGTCCCGGATGGCCCTACTTGCTGTGACCCCGGGGCTCGTTCACTATACACTCAGAGGAGGAGTGCACTGTATCTGTCTAGACTTATCAGGTACCAAGTCTTCCTCAAAATCATGAAATAATGGCAGTGCCATGCAAACAATAACCCTAACAGCAACCACCGTCGCCATGGCAATGCATGTTTTCATCGCCAGTCTTGTTGTTTTCGTGTGTAATTCACTCTAGTTTATTAGTGATGCATCTACGAGCCACGGTCGAGCTCCAGTCAACTCATTTATGTAGTCTCTGCCTTCTGAGTTTGTATTTTCAGTCTACAGTTTACAGCAGCAACGTCACCTCATCCTATGATTATTGCTAACGTTATGTGTACTTAATGAATGGACTAGTGTATTCTATAATTTTGTAATGATAACCTTTTAGTAGTTTTGTATTTTTCTTAACAAAATGAAATATGTAAACAAAGACGTTACCTGAGTATCTAAAAGAATATTTCCAAAGTTTTCTGTATCGTGCCACACTTCATTTGATGAATTGATTTGTGCCCGAAGAAAGCCGTATATTTTGATATTTCCAGTATTGAAATATACAAAGCATGGTTAAGCCAAGATGAACGTTGGCATGCTGGTAAATACAGTGTTTTCCCTCATCTCCCTCCCCGTAAAAAATTGACCGTTCCACAGAGCATGTTGTAGAAATGGACCACTGCAAAGCTAGTGTAACAGTGGGGGGTTTATAGGCTGTACCAACCAGTGTAACAGTGGGGGGGGGGGTTATAGGCGCTACCAACTGACCCGATGGGTCTAGACCTTTTCGGCCGAGCGGTTAGAGTGTCAGCCTGTGGATTGGTGCCCGGGTTTGGTCGTGGGTTCGAACCCCGGCCCGAGACCAGTGGGTTATCTGTTCCTACTGGCTCCCCCTGTTTCTTACACTAATGGACTATCCTAACATTACCCCACTCTAAAATAGAATTTTCTGAATTTGACTCCCATACAAGAATTGCTCTTCGAAAACACCCCCTGCAAAATGGACTCTCCCAAGCTACTCCTCACATAAATAGTTATCTGCCACATTTGACCTTGACTTCCGTCTTCTCAAGACCTATCCACATATCAAATGCTATCACGATCCATTTACTCAATTAGATGCACGCTACACACACAAGTAACACATACATGCACACACACACACACACACACACACACACACGCGCACACAGAGACACACACAGACACCCACGAAACCACACACACAGACCACACCTCACCCCAAGCACATCTACACACACGCGCGCGCGCCCACACACGCGCACGCACGCACGCACGCACGCACACACACACACACGCACACACATGCACGCACGCACGCACACACGCACGCGCACACACTCACGCGCGCGCACACACGTGCGCGCGAACGCACACACGCACAAACACACACACAAACACACGCACGCACGCACACACACACGCGCGCGCACACACACACACAGACACACACACACACACACACACAGACACACACACACACACACACACACACACACACACACACACACACACACAGACACACACACATGCACACACAGACACACACACACAAACATACATAACGTTACATACTTACACACACGCCTCACCCTAAGCACACACACACACACACACACCAACACGCAGGCTGACACTCTCTGTATTTTGCTCTCATTTGGAAGTACAAAACGGTCGTTGTGCCAACTCAGCGTCTGTAACTACCGAGAACAAATCAGCGTGATTGCGAAGAGCCCACAATTGACTGACGCGGGGGGAACGCAGACTCACTCGGGCACGCCAAATCGAATTATCCGATGATGACAAGGGAGAAAATCATGCACTCAGGGGGAACAGATACTAGCCGCCTGGAGTAGATACAAGTATCTCCAGTGTTATATACCTGTACTCAGTCAATAGACGTCAAAGCAAATCAATGATATTGTTTGGAATAAGGATATGGATATGGATATACAAAATAGATGTTTGTGGAAACCTTTGTGAGTTTATCATCTAAAACCACTGAACCCTAGCACATTCTTATTAATTACTACTAGTACATGTACATTGTTACTAATGACTAAGTCCTCATTTGCACAACCCTTCAATTAGAATGACCATCAGTTAACCAATGTCAAAATCGAATTTACTTTATTGTAGCTGTAACTGGTACAATGCATGGCAAAGAAGAAATAACAAAGGTAGAAACGTGTACTATATTAAAATAAAATTGTAACAGAGTTAATCCTAAATTACAATTTTACCAAAGCTAATCTATTGTATGTTTTTCTTGAAGAGAGTATTATAATTACATTCTATAATTCAGGAGATATGTCAGTTATTTACAATATGGTGTAGTCATGAGTAGGAAATCTGTTTCGAAATGAAACAGTTAAGATGGTGGAACCTGTGATACGTTTGGAAAAGATAACATCTTTGCACGATAGTAAATGTAGGGCAGTTCCAGAGGAGGACGCCTGGGGACACAATCTAAGCATTCGTTCCTTCGGCTACCTCTGAATAATAAAAAATACACATAACTAACTTTTCCAGTTAGATACGCATGCGCGCACACACGCGCGCGCGCGCGCACATACATTCACCAGTTCTCATCCCCAGAATGCAATGCGAAAATACAGGGGTAAACCTCATTTGCATAGAACTGAAAGGCATCGGAATGATCCTGGTGACGTTAAACAGCTTGTTTTTCACTGTGTTTTGAGGTGTTGGGGCGTTTTATGCTCAACATTAATTAAATTACTATAAGCCGAATCTGATAACAAATAGAAAATGAAGTTTTAGTGTTCTTTTCAACATAGAACATGTGCTTTGTAACGTAACAGCATCAGTATAGCGTTACCACTATAACGTTACAAACCACATATTCCAAAAAATTCATTCTCCATTTGTTTTCAGATTCGGCCCATAGTAATTTGATTAATATTGAGCATAAAAAGCCCCAACACCTCAAAACACAGTGAAAAACAAGCTGTTTAACGTCAACAGGATCATTCCGATGCCTTCCTATCCTATGCAAATGAGGGTTATCCCCTATTTTCGCATTGCATTCTGGGGATGGGAAACTGGTGAATACATACACACACGCACACACTCGCGCGTACGCACAAACGCCAAAGAACGAACACCCGCGAGCACAAGTACACAAACATGGCGCACACACACGGAACCAAACGGGAACGAGAACTCCTTCGTCATTTGTTGCAGCTACAACATGAAAGTTAGTAACGTTACTATAAGTATTACTGTGCATGGTGCCTCCTAGTGTGTCTACGTGTCACGGCACTGTTTGGGCTATCATGAGCTCGAGAACACAGCACAGTTGAGCGAGAGTAAACTCCACGATTACTAAACAACATTAGCGGTATCTCCGTAATACACCTGTTTATACTGGATAAACGTACTATGGTATACATTCAGGGTAGTCAAGTTAACTCTGTTGGACAGCTAACGAAGACTGTGAAAATAAGAGGGAATGCTCCAAAGCAAACTGAATTTTGTCTTGTTCTAGATAATATACTTCTGAACGATCATTTCTTGAAGAACCTTACCGTGTGTCTCACAAAAGCTTAAAGGCGTCCAATGCGATTTCAGAGCAGCAAAACTGGCAATATTCTGAATAAGGCAATCTTTATGATATTGACACATACTGCTTCACATTAGCATATTTCAAGCTGTATTTCATACTTTGGGACTTTAAAGCTGGAGAAACCCAAGATGAGTCCTCTATCTTATGGGTGGTACCCTACAAATCAGCCAAGGGCCCTTCCAGTTCCAGTAACCATCCGAATTTTGGATATTTTTTCTCCATGAGGGTCAACATACATTGGGATAGTGTGGTTTCAACTCAGTATGTATATAAGTGACTAAAATATTGACTTTGAAAAATCGGGTTTCCGAGCCCTAAAAACTGCATTGGATGCCTTTAACGTTCACCAGCGCAATCCCATGAGCAGTGCGGGATAAGACTGGTTCTGTATCACATTACTACAGAGTTATTATAGACAAACGTATTGGGGTGACTGGGGCGGCGCCAGGGGGCGATTTTGTTCATTTGTGCACGCTTAACGATCCTTCCTGTTCAGTGCCTTAGACTCAGTGTAAAACTTCACTTAGTCTGATGCCTCAACAGACAGGCGCATAATGTTAAGTCAAAACAACACTGTCCCAATATAATGTATATCGTCATTTATGGAGCAAAAATGTCCAAAATTCCGACGAAAAACGGTTGTAATTACTGGAAGGACCCGGATTGATTTTTAGGGTACCACCCATAAAATGAAGGACTCGTCTTGTTTCTGCAGTTTTAAATATCTCAAGTATGAAATAATGATTGAAATGTGCTAATGTGAAGAAGTATGTGTCGATATCATAAACATTACCTTAATCAGAATATTTCCCAGTTTTACTGCTCCGAAATCGCATTGGATGCCTTTAAGGTGGCGTTTATGTTATGGTAGTATTTTGGGCGTACATGTTATGAAGGGGAACCGCAGCCGTAATGATGTGTACGTCCTGATGATGGAGGTACGGTCGGGCTCACATTCTGCGCGCCGCTGGAGATGAAATGGCGTGAACGTCTCAGGTCAATTGAATAATACATCTTCCACGGAAGCGATGATGACTCGGAACCAGGCAGCGTTCTGTGGACCGATTGTCAGGTAACAATAACCGCACAAAGAGCGAGCAGCCATGTCCATGTGGATTTAAAGATGGTTCAAATGAATTGGTACAGGCGGCGCTCTAATTTGGAACTAGAACGTATCGTATACTTCAGTTTGCTTGGGAAAGAGTCCAAAATTGATTCACATCGAAACACATCATCTAGTGATAATGTTGATGATTGTGTGTCGTGACATTAAGGCGGTGTGTCTGTGTATACCCGGAATAGTACTTACCGATAGGAACGTCCACCATGTGATCACCTACTGAGAAGGTAGAACTCGGCAGGACCGTCCAGCCGATGACGATGAGCGCCATGATCGGGACGCCAGCCCGCCTGGCCCCGGCAGTACAGACACGGCAACCGGCATGGTGGCGACAGCCTCCGCTAGATCCCACCGACGACATCATCCCTGAAATAACTCGTCTTCGCTCCACCCTCTCGACCATAGGCAGCCGTGTTATCGATTGCGTGGATGCGGAAGGATTAATGTTGACATACGTTAGGCGGCGTCTCACGGGACTGTACTAGTGCCTGGCGTACAGGGGATGTACCACACGCCGCACACATGCTGACGCTAGCCTCCACCAGGCCTGTCTACGGGAATACGGATCGTAGAATTCGGCAAAAAAAGAGAGGAAAATTGGCAAGAGGAGTCCGGCCGCGGGGAGGTAGTTTCCTTCCCTCCGATGCGCGGCCAATCAAACCTACAAGGCGGCCAAACTCCCCTGGCAAATATTCTCCTATATATAGCCAGCGTAGTTAGTCTGGTAGAGACAATGCTGCGGCAGCGCTGGGTGGATGTACTAGCTCTGAGCTATGCCCGGGCTTATGCACCAGCTCTATCTACCCGCTCACGTAATGCTGTAATCTCTGTCTCAACTACCTACTTCCGACTGCCATGTATCACAGACAATTCCGCTGGTTAATGGTACCTTAATGGTTAATTACACAGCCATGAATATATATTCTGAGATTTTAGTAGCCCTGGACTTTATTTGAACCTTCACCCAGAGCCTAATCAACGACTGTGAATTATTTACCCCTTGGACAGAACATATTTGATTACGTACGATAATAATTCCTTTTAGCCGGCACTTTCCAGCCACCCTACCGTCCTTGGCAGGCGTTTCAAGTCGGTGATTAAAATCCAAAGAATATTATTATGTTTACCGAGGGAAAACATATTGTTTTTGCTCCATTTCTTCTTCCTCTTCTTCTGTTCCAAACACTAACCTTTAACCTGGCCAATGGCCTCTTTTGTTGACGTCTGTCACCATAGTAACTGGTGTTGGGTTACATAATGTTGCAATTTCATAGTAGGCATTCAGACTCCTGTCACCATAAACATGTACATGTATGTGAATGTGTTTGAGTACGAATTAACAGAGCAGACCATATCCGAAGGTAAACATTATGCATTTGCTTTGCAAATGTTACTTTTCTAGTTATGACATAAATTCACTGACAGAACGAATTATGATAAGACTGGGAACAAGATCTCTAAAATCTCTTTTGTAGTGATTTATTTAATCACTTAATTTAAAGGAATTACATTTTGTTCCATATGGATTGTTTCATTTGTTATTTATATTTTTGTTATTATTTGTGTCAGTTCAAATATTTGTTTACTGTTTTGTTACTTCAATTTGCATTAATTGGAAAGTACATCAATTATTACTTTCATTTCAGACAAATTGTTTCTATTATTTTATCTCTGATCTCAAACGCACTTTTATTTCTATATGCTGATTTTGTTTCAAGATTGTTATAATTTCAAAATAATTTGTATGTTTTATTCATTATCATTATTGCTAAAAGTAATTATTATTATTATTATTATTATTGTCATCTTATTTATGTTGCTGGACTCCAGGAGTAGTATGGAGTTTACCATACTAATGGAGATCGTAATAAACAAACAAACAAACAAACAAACAAACAAACAGCACCGTTTTAGAAATCATTCCGGATGATTACGTTAGCTAATTTCCAGTAGAGAATGATATTAATTCTGCGACTGACGTTTATAACAAGGAACGGAGTTTCAATGAATTACTCAAGCTACTTACTGTAGTGAGCTTTTTTTCTGGCATGAATGTTTCTAAGTTACGAATCGATTTGAAATAACTGGCGCCGCGCCGCGCCGCGAAGCTGGTGTGTTACGCCGAAGGGCGGTTATACCGGCTATACAGATACAGAAGCTGGTGTGCTACGCCGAAGGGCGGTTATACCGGCTATACAGATACAGAAGCTGGTGTGCTACGCCGAAAGGCGGTTATACCGGCTATACAGATACAGAAGCTGGTGTGTTACGCCGAAGGGCGGTTATACCGGCTATACAGATACAGAAGCTGGTGTGTTACGCCGAAGGGCGGTTATACCGGCTATACAGTTTGTGATGAAACAAGTTCAGTGATTGGTCGAGGCTGAAGGACTGAGTCATATGGTTTGCTAACGCCACATAGAGATAGAGTTCATAATCTAACTAGAGTTCAACGATCTCATACCTTCGCCAAGTGATGTTAATCTTTATGACTGACAAAGTAAAGATTATTCCTCCTGATTATGCAAATAGGATCCTCATTTGCATGAATTATATCAGTTGATCATATTCTCCACCAAAAGACAGCCTTATCTTAATAAAGAAAGCCATTCTATCATTTCCTCATAAATTATGCAAATGAGGTCCTCATTTGAATAAGCTATGTTTAATGATGTTCACCTTTACTTAACTTTCAAATACCCCAAGTATGAAATTCCAGGCAGTTACCATTATGGAATTATAACATTTTCTCATTGATTATGCAAATTAAGTGTTAAATTACATACTGAATATCTGCCTGTGTTTTTCTTGTTCTCAAATACATATGTCACAGGCTTAAATAGTCCTATAATGTAATGCAGCTGATTCATAGAATTTCCTCAAAAATTATGCAAATTACATTCAGATTTGCATAATTGTCGCATAATTATGTCAAGCGTCACTTAAGCTACCTACAAACCATAAATCATGACGATCCGTCCACCGGTTCTTGAGTTATCCTCTTTTGAATATTTTCAAACAGGTAGCCCTGCAGTTCCTGAGCATGCCGCTAGGGGGCCCATGTCACTTCTTCCCCAGCATGAGAGCTACCTACCATCCAATTTTCGTCACCCCAGCATGTCTAGATCATGAGAAATCAAAACCGGAAGTTTAGCTGCAGTACCATAACCAGCCGCTAGGGGATCCAAAATCTAATCATTTCCAGGTCTCATCAAGACCTACCCACCTACTAAATATCAAGATAATCCATCTAAGCTTTCTCGAGTTATGCTGTTGACAGACAGACAGACACACAGACACACAGACACACGGCCAGGAAGACATAACATTCGTCAATTCTTGGCGAAGGTAATAAATACGAGCTGCACATGTGTGTAGAGGTGATCACATTCTGCAGACTTCAGTACGAAAAGAGAGTACCGGCAATATGACCCTAGAAATGGGGCCGTATTGATTTTTTTCTCAGAAATTACAGATAGCTATGGGTTCGATCTTCGCACCGTTTGTTCGACTCGAGGTCCTAAATCTATTTCTAACGACTGAGCGGTTTTTAGTTTCATTCACCAGTTTCCTATCCCCAGAATGCAATGCGAAAACAGGGGGCTAACCCTCATTTGCATAGGACAGGAAGGCATCGGAATGATCCTGTTGACGTTTAACAGCTTGTTTTTCACTTTTGAGGTGTTTTGGGAATTTTGTGCTTAACATTAATTAAATTACTATGGGCCGAATCTGACAATAAAGAGAGAATGAATTTTTTTGTGTTCTTTTCAACATAGAACATGTGGTTTGTATACATTACAGCATCAGTATAGCGTTACCACTATAATGTTACAAACCACATATTCAAAAAAATCATTCTCTATTTGTTTTCAGATTCAACCTATAGTAATTTAATTAATGTTGAGCATAAAATGCCCCAACACCTCAAAACACAGTGAAAAACAAGCTGTTTAACGTCAACAGGATCATTCCGGTGCCTTCCTGTCCTATGCAAATGAGGGTTAGCCCCCTGTTTTCACATTGCATTCTGGGGATGGGAAACTGGTGAATGGGTGCAAGGATGACAAGATGGGAACATTGTAGTCGGCCTGATTTGTCCTACTTTGTACAGAACAGCGGCGAATTAGACGATCAGGATCCATTTTAAGTTCCTTCGCGCTGACCGGTTTACTTTGCACTTCATCAGTAATGATGTTAGATTTGGGAGAGTGCGCCCTTGTAGATAAATTGTGCGCTATTTTCTATAGAGGGCACGATCTATGGTGTAATTAACCATGGCCAGCACTACATACGGACCGTTTCAAAGCATCGCTGAAAAATAGTACATCAGCCAAATAGGGTGAATAATTTGCTGGAGAAATTACCAGCCATGCTGGCCTGTATCACATTTCAAGTTGTGCGTGTCGTAGGTCTCTACGTGAATATGCCTTCTAGCTGGTATATTTGTGGGATTTTATATTTTTACCTCCATGAAAAATGAAGGTATTGTTTTTGGCGCGTCTGTGTATTTGTGTTTCCGCACATTTCTAGTCAGCATAACTTCAGAACGCCTTTATAGATTGTGATGATATTTAGTAAGTTGGTAAGTCTTTTTTTTTTTTTAAACTTTTCCGTGTCCGCCACGGCACTTTATTAAATACAAATGTTCATTGATACATGTATGTCATAACAAATTCTCAGCAAAGCTTAGTGTACAAAGTGTACTCATGTGTATATGGAACAGTAATAAAGGAAGGTATTAACTACATCATCTTTCTGCAGTTTTCTGTGGTCATCTTTATGTCTTAACCAGGACACATAGATGGCATACTTAGCGATTGTTAATATGTTACATTCTTCTGAACTTAGCAAAACTTCATCGTGCGTTACATCCTTGACAACATTAACTCTATTCCAGAAGTTCTTAAGTCTATCGCATTTCACAAACATATGTTCGTAGTTTTCCACAGTATTACAAATTACACAGTTATTACTATAAATGTTTCCTGATTCGTCTTTTACATTCCATTTGTTAAGTAAGTACCTACAGGGTAGTATCTTGTGCAGAATTTTAAAGTTTACTTCCCGCAGCTTATTGTGTTTAATATTACAAGTTTGAAATTTCCAGATTTTTCTCCAATCCAGATTAGGGGTTACTGAGTCCCAGTATGCTTGTGCGGTAGGTTTAACACTGTTGTAAGATACATACGTGGAATACAAAAATCTACTAGTAAATACATCAGGGATTTTACATTGTTCATTATACCAAAGTGAAATGTTTTCATGACATGGCTTGACAATATTTTCTTTAGTGAGCCATCTTCGCCCTACTGACTTTTTAACACTGGCGTACTCACATAACCAGTTATTCTTAACAGT